CGTGGGCGGGGGGGCGCTCGTGAGAGGGGAGGGGGCGGGTGGGGCCCAGGGCGGAGCAGGGCAGTGTGGGGGGTGGGGCGGACCCAAGGTGGGGAGGGGCCCAGGGCGGAGCAGGAGAGGACACGGTCTCCTGTGGGTGAGCCGAGGCTCCAAGGTGCAGCCAAGGGCCCACAGCGAGCCAGAGGCAAACCTGCGAAGAGAACCCAAGGGCCCCATCGCCGCTCCAGTCCTGAGCCTTAGCCACAAGGTGCCGCTGCTCCTCCTGCGCCAGGCGACAACAGGAAGCCCCACAATGCGGAGGGGATGGGCACGCTGCAAAGCAAACCCCCGTGGCAGCCCCCGCCCGCCTCATTTCATCCGCACACTCTTTGGGGGAAGGCAACAGCTGCTCTGCTCCTTGGCCATGCTGCACAGCTGGGCCCCGCGACCGTCTCCTTTCCTGGGCACAGACACCCGCCTAGAGACTGTCCAAGGCCTCGAGTTGCTGGGACCCGCTCTGCCAGCTTGGTCTCCAGAAGAGCAGGGGCAGGAAAGCAGAGCAGCGCTGCAGCTGGCCTGGGTGTTCCTAGGCTGCTGGAAAAGGAGACAAGCCGACAGGAAGGAAAGAGGCAGACGGTGCCCACGGAGCGCCAGCCTGGGTCTAAGCGCCATGTCTAGCCACCATCTTCACGACAGCACCAGCACGTGTTTCCGACCGGCGAGCTTCAGCGACTCTGCTGAATCGGTACTACGCTGAACTTCACTCACCCAGCAGCCGCCGCTGTCCCTCCCGGGCCAGATGCAGGGCGCGGCGTGGGCCTTTCCCGCACGCCTTGCTGGGAAAGCGGCGGTAAGCACGTCCCTGCCAGTCCCGTTCCTCCCCGCACAGCACGCCCAAGGCAGAGCAGAGCTGTCAGGAGTTAGGCTCCAGAGCTAAGAGGTTACCTGAAAAGGAATGAGCCTTTTAGTCTAGCCACTGGCTTCTCTGTTGGCCTGGACAACCGTGCGGCCCTAACCATAGCCACCAGGCCTGAAGGCCGGGCCTCCCCTCGGCCCTCTAAGGCAGGCCTGGGCAGAATACAGCCTGCAGGACGGATCCAGCCCGTGGACGCAGCAGGGAGCCCCAGGCAGGCTTCCCGGCTTGCCCCACACACTGCTCAGAAAGCAGCTGCTGGGCCATTTCTATTTAAAAACTGTGAGCCTGGAGGGAAGGGGGGAAGGCTTCAGGAATAACGCCCGCTCCCAGCACAATCCCATTGGCCGGCTTCTGGCCCGAAACTGGCCAATGGGAGCTGCCTGTTTGAATAACAGGCAGCACATGAAGCACCACGTCCCCCTCCAGCTCAGTTCTTCACACAAGCACATGGCTGTGCAGCCTGGGCAAGCACGGGGCCGGTCGGCAGGCAGGCAGGGAAACTTTTTAAGCTCTGCAAGCTTTAGCTCTGCAGGCAGGCTGGTTGGGCTGCTGGCTGGTAAGTCTCCTGGCCAGAGCCTGCCCCTGGCACCCCAGCTCCTTCCTTCCCCAACCCTCTTCTCCCCACTCAACATACCCAAACCCTCTGCCCCCCTCCTGCATCCAGACCCCCCCTCAGATCTGGCACCCCAAACCCCTGCACCCCAGTGTCTTCCCCATGGTTACAAACCAAACCCCTGCACCTCTATCCACTGCCCTAGGTCACAACTGCCTCCTTCACCCAAACTCTCTCCCTGACCCCACTCTCCCTCCTGCACCCCAATCCCTTACCCCAGGCTCCCTTGAGCACCCAA